ACCAGCTATATGTGGTGGTTTCCTTTGAAAACAGTTTACAGTCCATATATATATTATATAACAGCGAGAGAGAGAAAGATATGTAAATATATATGTCAATCTGCAGAAAAGCTGCAGAGAATACTGTTAAAGAAAATGTTTTTATCGTACTGACACGCCATCCTTTGTCTCCCTCACCTTCACTTGCAATACTCACATACGACTGGCAGACTTTGTTGATACTGCATGTTTTATGACAAATTTAGCAGAATCTCTTTTTTTGGGGGCCGATAAAAGTTAAGCAAAATTTTGTAGCTGATGAAACTTTTTTTGTGTAATTGAAAAAAAATGACAAGAGTTTTAGAGTGCAGTTGTTTCAATGAGTCACTTCTTTGTACAAAGATTCTATCGTCGGAGGACGGTAACATTGGACACTTTGAAACTGCAGTCGGCGCTTTTGACTTGAATCTGGACTGATCAATAGAACAACCTCCGTGAACAAGCTGCCCTGGCGATGAAAGAAGAAAAAAAGGGCTCTGAGTCAGACTTTGTTTTTATTTATTTTGCAGCAGTGTGGGTGTCGGAGCAGCCTTTTATCCCCTCATCCCTTCACCTGTGTCACCCTCAAACTTGACAACATCTCAGTGGTGTCTGACTCGGCCCTTGAACAAAGCACAAAGACCTGCTTTTATACTGTTACTCCACTGTGAACGGACTCTCGGTTCCACCCTCCAAATCCTCGAACCCACACGCAGAGGGATGGCACGGCCTTTCCATTTGGGCCTTGAGGGACACCAGGAATCAAGGAGGCTTTGGTGGATATTTATACTCGGTAGCAACTTCTACTACTTCTTCAGTTTTCGCTGACTTTCTCCTCTGTACTCTTGATCACTAGTTGAGGTGTTAGCCAGCCACCTTGCCTTGGTCCATTGCAAACACACTTTTTCGTGGTTGTGATTTCATTCTCTTTTGTTCTGTATCTATCTTACCTGCTATATATCTGCACAGTATAAGTACAGGGGCCTCAGCTAACAATAGCAGCTGGGTGTATAGTTGTACAAACATGATCCAAGCACTCAACAACACACCAGACTATATGAACCCTCTCCCCATCTGTCCCCACATGGACAGCAAGACGGACAAGTCAACTCCGAGTACCTCAGTTTCTAGCAGCAGTGTCTCCAGCCCCCGACCCCTGACCCCGGCCTCTGTCCTCAGGGGATTCTCTAGCAACCACACACAACAGACAGACCCTGAAAATACAGGACCAGAGCCGTCCCACAGGAATGTTGATCCATATGAACAGAAGGTGGGGGGACGCTCGCTGTCTGAGCCCAGTATCTCTAGTAGCCATTTTCAGAGACTGGATGAGTGGAGGGCGGTGAAGGGGGGGGTGATAGCTCAATTGTAGCATGTAATCTGCAACAAAGTGGAGCAGGAGGGATGTTGTAGCAGCAGATTTGAGTTTTAGTTTGACGTTTCTCTGACGCAGAGCTGCTCTGGAGGAAATACTGAAGTCACCGGAGGAATCTGTTTTTCCAGCTATGGAACCAGAGCTATGAGCTGAGGCTGGGTTTTCTTGTCTCATCAGTGTCTACAAGTGTGTAGAGAACAAGCACTGTCACACCTTGTGTCAGCAATGAAAGGCTTTTAAATAACTAGCAGCAAAAGTTAATATTGCATAAATATTAGCAGGAACTAGCTGATACCAAACCATAATATCATTATCAATACAATTTTTAAACAAGTATTTTGGTATCAAAATTATAAACAAGTGCATAATGCGAAAAGACATGAATATGCAAAAATAATACAATTACGGATCAAACACATATTTGGATGTTGTAGTTTTCAACCAAACCTCTAAAATTGCAATGATCTTGCAGTCTTGTGTACATATAGAATTTATGGGGGTTCTCACAATATTGTCATTGCTGTGGACTAACATAATCAGCTGTTCTTAGGGCCCCCCTATTGACACTGGGGCCTAGCCTGTTGCAACATATATGTACCCATCTATTCTCATGTGCAATTTTTATTTACATAGAAGGAGACAGTAGAAAACGTGGACATTTGAAGTATAAAAACGTTTATCATCAGTAAAAATAAAATGTGATGTGAGATTAAGCAAATAAATTATGATGAACATGAAGCATGTGACTTTGACTTATGCTCCTGCAGAAAGAAAATCAGATGAGTGGACCGACTGCATGAAAACATGAAAAAGCCACATTTCCCATCTACATTGTTCTCCGCCACTTTAGGTTTGACAGATCTTTTAATTTTGCGTAGATTTCCCGCAATTACTAAATGGCACCAAAACTGTGTATCTTGATGCACTCAACTCCAAAATGTTATGGCATGGAAATGCACGTTACAATGCATTTTCTTTTTGCTGATTTCCTGGAACGATGACTTACTTGAGATTGATATCCATATCATATAAAGATAATATATAGATATAATATAGATAACATTTTGCTAGATTATGTACAAACATGCATCATTTATTGTGAATCCCTCATGGATATGAATTCAACCCCTCAATGTAACTAATTAATGAAAACTGACGTGTTAACAGGATGTAAATATATTAATTATAAGTTACTGAAAAAAGTATCAAAAACAAGGTCTGAGTTCATGAAAACATAAAAAGGTGTCAGTTTCTCCTCTCTGAGGTTTGACTCTCCCTCTGCCTCCAGAGCAGCTCACAGTCAAGACGAAGTTCAACTAAACCTCCAATGTGCCTTCAGCGCTGAGGTGTTACTGCGTTCGTGCTGTGTGTGTGTGTCAACACTGTGACGTTGCTCCACAGTGCACACACAGGTCACCGTGTGGGTCAGAGACAACTGAGCAATTACTGTGTAATTAACAAGAAAAAACGATCACCCTGCCACCCTCATGTTTACAAGACTGTAAATACATGTTGCCAATGGACATTGCTCTTCTCAATATTACATATATTGTTATTACAAAAATGATTATTATTAGTATGATTATTGTCATTAAAGGATTTATTATTGCCACCACTGTCATTATTATAAATGATGTTGTCAGTTATAGCTATGGGTAAACATTGTTCTGTATTCAAGGGCGTGTCTCGTGTCTGATGACAAAAACAGATTAGGTGGATCTATGATGATGAGTCTTAAATCGCTGCTACTAAGGAGATGGAGTTGGAGAAAAGCAAACTGACACTAACTCTGGGAAGACATTTTTCTCTCTGGGATGGATGATGGATGCTCCCGTGTGGAGTGAGAGATCACCGCAAGAGGAGAATGGACTGAAGGAAGATCCAGACATTCTAGCTTCTTTCTCCATGAGCGTTTATTCCACTCTGAACTTTTAATTGTGCCAGAAGAGGGAAAAAAACACGGACATCACACTGACACAGACTCTCCACTCTCTGTATTCTACTCTATACAGTAATGTAGCAAAAACTAAATAGTCTCTTTCTTCTCTGTCCACCTGTCCTCCTCCCCTGTCTCTTCACTGAACACCATGATTTTAATCAGACGGGTTTGATACAGCGAGCTTTTCTGTCTTTAAGCTCCGCTTTATCCTTGAGTTCTCTTCTTTTATACGCATTTGATCCAGTGCCAAGACAGCATATTGTACATACAAACATGAAATGTTTTTTTTCCTCCTGTAAAATGAAACTGACCGGAGCATATAGCAATAGCGATGCCATAAGATACAACCTTTGTTTAGTTGATGCAGATAGTGGATACACAAGATGCATGAGAACACCACGGCTGACAGGGGGGACGGGTGCAGTCTTGACTTTGCGACAGACAGCAGAGAGGGTGTTGCACAGTGAAGTCTAAATCATGACTTGTTTGTTGTGTTGTGGTTCGCATTTTGTACATACAAATTTATTTATTGATCTCGTATGTTTTATGGATCTAGATGTGTCAGAGCAGCACGTCTGCGAGCGATCGAGCCCAGAGAGATGGCACACTGTGACGTGGTTTACCCCAACACAGAATGTAACACTGTCAACGTTGTCAAAACATTTTTTAATGGCTAATATTATTACTATTAATATGATTATTATAAAGCTATTTTAGCGAGTTAAACCAGGGCGGTGCTGTGTCTCCTTTGTCTTTCTTTTGTGTCAATTTTCTGACTGTTAAAGTTTTGTATTTGAGCATCTAATTTTTCTGTTTTGCTAAAATCTGAGCGATCTCCCACAGAGCCACACTTATTTTAAACTATAGACTGTATATGAAGATGGACGACACGGCAGCCCCCCCAAAAGCCAAAACATCCTCATCACTCTCTGGTGTCTGGCCAAAGTGTAGGTCATAAAGCCCACCTCCTCCAAAGTAAACATGGAACAAATTGTACCAGCACAAGATGACTCCGCGTCCAGAGGATTTTAGCTTCAATTTTGTGGAGTGGGAGGAAGTGAAAGAAGTATCATCCACTTTAATATACAGGGTAGAGTACATGTCAGACCATTTCCTCTTCTGCCCCCCTTCATCACATAGTTCCAGTCTTTGCACAAAAGCAGGCCATACACACCTAGATACATGAAAAAAGTAATTAAAATTACAGTCACAAAGTAAAGTATGTATGTTGTCACAACCCACCACTGGTTGACTATGACCTTGACCTTTGACATTGGACCACTACATTCTAATAAGTCATCTTTGAGTCCAAATAAACATCAAATTTGAAGGAAAGACAGTCTTAAACTTTCGCAAGAATAGGACGGACAGACAGACGCACAACCCGACCACAGGCTGCCGCAGACAAAAACTATTTAGGGGAAGTTTGTCTTGAGAGGGCTGGCGAAAATATAAGTGTAATCAGGTGCTGCAGAACAGTAGCCCAGAAGTTCTGAATCCTGGCTGCAGTATGTAGATAATGACCTATTCGCTCACACTTGTGTTTGAATAGCATTCTCTCTTTAAATATCATATCTGAGGTTTTGCTGGGTGATGAGACTTTAGGTGACATCAGACAAATGGTAAGAGAACTCTCGACTGAGGTATTTTAAGACAAGACAAAAAGTGGACAGTGAATAAAAGTACTTTAATTCATCTTAAACATTTTACATATTTCTGGCCACAATCAGTAATCACACAATCCAGAAATGTTTCATCCAAGTTAACAGTAAAAATATAAAAAGTGCATTGTAGGTAAAATTCAATTAAACTGAACAGATTGCCCTCTTCATTTAGAATCATTAAAAAAAAGAGCACATATAAAAGTCAGTGGCACATTACACGTCACAGAGGATTCAACAAAGACAAACGTCCCGTTATTTCATTTTTGGAAAAAATTTAAATCTAATACACAAGTGTTGTCTTTTCAACCCGAGTGTATAAGTTTCCCCTTTACCCTACATAATGTTAACCTGAGTTTATGAAGTGGAACCCCCGGTCAGATAGCAGAGGTTGAACTCTCCAGGTGTTTAAGGATCACTGGACACCTTCCAGTTTCAGGGTCCATGCCTCACCAGGGCTGTAGGGCAGCTGGGGCAGCAGGACAATAAGGCCAGAGCTGGGACTGATTGGAGACCAGGGTAAAGACTTTGGATTCCCCAACATGGTGACCTGGACATGGGACAGCAGTGATTTAGATTCTTACTTTTCATATACTGAAAATCACATATCTTTTTGTCAAGTCTTTACTGATGAGTTTAGATAAAACTTGATCTCTGTCCTTTTACCTTGGTGTTAGCTGATGTTTTGGGTTCCAACAGTTTGACAATGGACTCAGACGGTTTGGTTACCATGATGGCATAGACGGTGGTCCCCTTAGATGTATACCTGCAAAAAATGGAGATGATCGCTGCATCAATAATCAGCATGCTGGATCAATCACTTAAGAAAGATTACAACAGATATTATGTGCTGAAGGTCGTGCACACCGAGCCTTTATTTCTTGTATTCCTTTTTTAAACTTGTCATCCAATAAAAATCTAACACAGAGAATGGCATGTTTAATTATTCTATTTGTTGCAAAAAAGCACAGCAGGAGATAAAAAGGAGTCGAGGAGTGAGGATCCTCTCACTTCTTGAAAAAAGAAGAAGAAAACATTAGATCAAGTCAATCTTGAGAAGACGTCAGGAACAAGTATTTCATCTTCTGATGAAGGATCTGAGTAATTATCACTTCCAAGTCTGTTTCAGGATGCCAGTGGTCTGGTTTGATACACTACCAGCACTGAGGCCCACGTTAAAAAGAAAACACTTTTCTGTGAGTTGGTGTGTAAAGGTGATTGACACAACATGACTTTACACTGAGTGAAAACACTTTACAGATTTAGCAGAGATTTCTCGAAATTCTGCTCTCGATTATGAAACACATTTCAACATGAGCAACTGGGTTTCATGATTCATCTCTTCCCCGTTTATTACCAGATTGGCATGGTGCTGTTCCCTTTTTGAAGCCTCCAGGGTTTAGAGGCGTAGATGGCCTCGCCGTTGACATCCAGCCAGCCCCCTACACCCCTGAGCCTCTCCTCGAACAAAACAGGGATCATCCCGTCAGGTGTGGGGCCCACATTCAGGAGGTAGTTCCCTCCCAGAGCCACGGTACGAACCATATCCTGCAACAGCAGCAGCAGTAGCAGGGTGAGGAGGATGATAACCATCGTAGCTGTCATTCCAGATTGATACTATATTATACTACTACTATACTTTAAGATACTATCTCATATCCTCACCTCTATGATGGAGGGTAAGTCCATCAGTTCAATCAGCTTCATGTTCCGCCTGTAACCCCACGATAACCTGTCCACAGACATGCACTTCTCCCACTTGTGGTCGGGCAACTGAACTGGAGTGTACTTGTCCTTACAGTTAAAGTAGCCGCCATGTTTACAGGCGCAGCCAGCTCCCCACCTGTCATTGGTCACGATTGTGTCCTGAGGCGAGGGAAATCTGATGAGTACAAGCAACCTCACTGAAGCAATAAAACCGCTGACCGTTGCCATCTGAACATGATAAGTGCACCTACTTTGACTGGGCTGTCATTATAGAGCCAGGCAAGGAACTCGGTGGAGTTCCAGTAGGTGTCAGGTGCTTCCCAGTCCCCATCAGACCAGATCAGCTCAGGTTTGTACCTGCAAGGCAACAGGAAGGGAAAAGCTCAAACATCCTCCCAGCATGCCGTGCTCGTGACAATAAACTATCAGGTGATATTATAAGTAAGTTATTGTGGAGAAGTGCAATCAGCTGATGCAATAATGGCAGCACTACACACCTTACGACCATGTTATAAAGCTCTGGAAGAAGTTTATGTGTCACAAAATACTGTGTTTTAAATCCATTCTTCTTGTCAGCCAGGTAGAGAGGGTTGAACCACTCATAAAGAGAGTTGTAGAGTCCATAGTGCAATGACCTGCATGAAGAAATTACAAACTTTAAATTTCTGATCTGACACCAGCCTCATGTCAGTACCACCCGCCAACGAGAACCCCTTTCTCTGAGGACCCACTTGTTGCGCACTGCGTCTCCCAGGTCGCCCACGAGGTCTCTGTGAGGACCAGTGTCCACGGAGTTCCAGTTCCAGGAATAAGGAGACGCCCAGTTAGTGAATCCCTCATGATGTTTGGCCGTCAGGACGACGTACCTGTGAGTCACATGATAATGAAAGTCTTTAGAAATGTGCTGCGCTTACAGAAACTTGAATGACACAACACGAGCAGCATGGAGTCACTATGTCTTATTTCTGTTGTTTTATGTTTCACCATTTACTTCAATTGTTTTGGATGTGGCTGCAACACTGTAACCCTTGGACTCCAGTAGTGTTTAGTGGACTCAAACACTTCACCCACCCGTCCATCAGCATAGTGCTTTGTACATAATGACCGATTCATGTCTAACACTAACTTTAACCCAACCACAAGTCACCTG